CCTATGCGGAAGCTCTGAGAGGGGAAAAAAATGGGCCTCCTGGAAGTTCCAAAAGGTTGGAAATGAGCCCGTGTCTGACCTCTGGAGGGCCTCCAGAGCCCAGGGGGGAGGTTTTTGCCCTTCCAAAGGCTCGAGGAAATCAAGGAACCTGGAAAAGACAAAACTGCCCTCCACCTGCTGTGGTACAGGAGGCAAACTTGGTCCCACCCACTATGGCCATGCCCACCCAGAAACTGGGCAGAGAACCCATTGTTGAAATTTTTGAACTCCACCCCTGCTTGTATGTACCACACAATCTTTGGATTCAGGTCAGTAGCCAATATTGTTATATAAGTAAACAGTTTCTCACTGAAATAAGGATGTTACTACATGCAAGGAGGTGAACGTTTCTTTTAGATAGAGACACATTCAAAATATGTACTTTACCTCCAACTTCCATTATGTAATTCAGAATCATATAGCTCCAAATTTTGTCCCTAAACTTTTCCACAGTATCTGAAAACTGCGAGGGAGAACATGTCCTTAAAGGTGACCTCACAAGGGACAATTTCAATTATGATCAAGACTTATTTTATAATCAGTCTTTATCTGGAATATTTTAAGGATGTCAAGGATGCTAAATTCTACTAGCAACCCATAGCTCCCCTGAATCAGCAGGAATGATATGATGGGACTAACATAAATCCTTTTATCAGTTCCTAGCCAGCAAGCTGTTAAGATAGAGAATTAAACGTGCTGAGGTTTCATCAGTTCTAGCACAACTCTGGTTTGATTGAAAGGATGTGAGGTTGACAAAGGCATTCCTGTTTCCCTTCCGTGGTCTCTGCACTTCTTTCTAGAAATGAAAATATAATGAGGTTCTGAAAGTTAATTAAACTCTCACATAAGGACAGGGGTGAAAAAATGAATCAAAAAAATATGTGGCAATGCTCTGAGCAATATTCCAGTTTTATTAAGACAGTGAACAGTACCTAGTAGCTCTAGGACCTACTAATGTTATAGCCTTATTGCCTAGTTTTTATTGACAATAAAATTTCTAGGCTGTCTGGTGTGGTAAAACACCCAAATAAATACTTTTTCCTTTAATCTGCTTCCTTCTCCTTTCATATATACTCATGTGAGCCATGTACAATGCTGAGTACATTAGACTTCTACAGCTTGTACTCTGTGGTTGTTTTAGTCTATTATGGCTGTAAGTTGGAATTGTAGTTCCAATATATCCAAAGGACATGAGCTTAAGGAAATCTGGAGTGCACAATCAAAAATGTGAGCAGTTCAACACTAACTGCATGTATCATATGGAATTATTTCTTAAATCAAGAGAGCAGAAACTGTAGCCCTTATCATCCCTGACATATTGCAAAAATATATATATTCAATTTTAGGAGAACAAAATGTCTGATAAATGTTCTTGTCAATTCAGGACTTACCAAGGGTAATGAGTGGGTATATCCTTAGAGTTCCATATGTCTAGCTTGCTTCTGTTTCCCTAATTTCTCCCACCATCAAATCATCTGGTTAATTAATGCTGCTTCATTTTTTATATCCAGAGGACAAATACATACTAAGCCGAATGGGTTTTAAAAAACCCATTGTTTCCCCTGTCATAGGAGTGAAAGGACAAGTATTAAGAGTTCTCTTAAACAGATGCTCAGACATTATGAAGGAGTGATAAAAGTAGAGAAACATGGAGAGCCATGTTCAGAGTATCTCTTGTGTTGAGTGGAGACGTCTAGGAAAGCTTTCTCCTTACATTCAATAATAAACATTCTGTTCAGGTTGTGTGAGTCCAACAAGGTAAACCAGCCTAAGAAACAACACCTTGTAGGTCTAACAGCTATAAAAACAGAATCTTACAAGTTTGAATGTGCTTTCCCCTTTCTCATTTTATCATTGTGTGAACAAGACAGGGACTTGGCTGAGACTGAGTTGATTTTCTCAACTTATTTTTTTTTTAGTTCAAGCTTAAGTCTCCCTTACCCAACCATTGACTTAGTAGTGGTTCCTCCTTCTGTTCCTCAAGGCCATTCTCTCTGTCCTCTATAATTTGTGAAGGAACAAGGGATATGTCTGAAGATACTGTAAAGGAAAAGAAGAGGGTTTTTTTTTATAATTTTTTTATTTTAAACACATAAACACATCAACAAAAACAAACACATGACTTAAAACAANGTCAGGCCTGGGGATAATCTTATTTCGCCCCTCCCGAATGCTGAGTGAATGTTGAGTTTTATTGTCTAATTTACTTTGTGCACATTTCTTTTTTTCGTATTGTCCTACACTCCCCTTCCTTTTTGATTGTAAGCCGCCCTGAGTCCCCTCAGGGAAAAGGGCGGCCTATAAATAAATAAAAAAGTAAAAAAAGTAAAGTAAAGTAAAAGTCCTGCTTGAGACCATCTCAGACCTATCTAGATGGCCACCAAGAGAAACAAAATGTTGGAATTTCACTGGACCCCAACACAGCCCTTCTAATACCCTCTGCCCTACCCCATTGCTTCTTCTCCCTCATTCTTAGTTGATGTTCCTCACCCTCTATCCAGGTCACAGTCAGTGCCAACGGGCTGCTGGGAACTCACAGCTGGTTGCCGTACGATAAAAACATCTCCAATTACTTCAGCTTCACCAAAGACTCCACTGTCTCCAACCCAAAGTGAGTCCCAGCTTCTTCTCCCGCCACAAGGACATCCTGAGAAGTTCCTTCATCTTCCTCTACACCTTCCAACCTTCTCCTTGCTTTCTCCCGCCAGGACGCAGCGCTACCTGTACGGTCCCTTCGCTCCGGGGGCAGAGTTGTCCTCCAAGACGTTGGTCGTCTCACACGACGGCAAACTCCTCTTCAGTGGCGGTCACTGGGACAACAGCTTGCGGGTCACCTCGCTGAGTAAAGGGAAGGTGGTGGGACACATCAACCGCCATCTAGGTAGGAATCCATGTTTCTTCTCAATTTTCCCCCGGGAAAGCTGTGGAACTTGGGTGTGGATCATTGGGCGTGGGCTTCAAACATTTTAGCAAGGGCGGCTCTGACCAATTGTTGGGTGGGCGTGGCCTAGTCGGCCTCCAGCACCATAGTGTGGGCGGGGCTTTTTCCCCTCCCCGGGCTCTGGAGGTTTTCCTCAAGCCTCCGGGAGGGTGAAAAGCCCCCCCCCCCAGGTTCTGGAGGCCCTCCGGAAGCAGGAAACGGTCCGCGTGGGTCTCCGGGGAGGGGTGGGTGAGGCCAGCCACAAGTGAAATTTGGGGGTTCTCTGAACTGCACAGAATCTTAGCTAGAGGTTCTCCTGCGAACCCCACCCCTGGTGTGGATGGACAAAGGAGCCGAAGTGGCGCAGTGATTAGGGTGCAGTACTGCAGGCCACTTCAGCTGACTGTTACCTGCAGTTCAGCGGTTCAAATCTCACCGGCTCAAGGTTGACTCAGCCTTCCATCCTTCCGAGGTGGGTGAAATGAGGACCCAGACTGTGGGGGNAAAAGAAAGCAGTATTCCTATACCTTTCACTACTGCAGACAAATAGTATTCTCCGCAGATAAGGCTTGTGATGCATTTCTATTATTGAAATTATCTTTTTTACCCAACTATTAAAGATGTGGGAATGTGGGAACCCCTTTTTCTTCTTCTGTATCTAGCCACCCAAACCACCTACAATCTTGAGTTATCAGGAGTACTGCTTTTAAGCATTATGAAAATTCATATAATTAATTGGGGTAAGCACAATAGAGATACCACATTCCCATTATGAATGCCTGTTGCAGCCACTGACTGGGAGGAAGGAATTCTGCATTAAAGGTAGAGGTGAAGGTTCCCCTCCCACATATGTGCTAGTCGTTCCTGACTCTAGGGGGTGGTGCTTATCTCCGTTTCAAAGCCAAAGAACCAGCGCTGTCTGAAGACATCTCCATGGTCATGCGGCAGGCATGACTAAACGGCGAAGGTGCACAGGACGCTGCTTCCTTCCCACCAAAGGTGGTCCCTATTTTTCTACTTGCATTTTTACATGCTTTCAAACTGCTAGGTTGGCAGAGGCTGGCACAAGTAATGGGAGCTCATTCCGTTACACGGCGCTAGGGATTCGAACCGCTGAACTGCCGACCTTTCTGATCGACAAGCTGCATTAAACAAAGACAATTATCTACTTTCTCACTAGGTGGACTGAAAGCAAATCAGCAGAATTTTCATGGGCTGAAAGACATGAATTGAAGGTATGGCTCTATGCATACACACAGAGAGCTTGGCTTGGGAGAATGGCTGCTGGGACTTATTGTAGCTTGTCTTTGGCCTCCTTTGAAAGCAGATCATCTTCTCCCAATTCTTCTGCCACCCCCCACCCCCCCACACCTCTCCACCCCCGCTATCACGGCAAAGCAAAGGGCACTTTACCAAAGGGCAGTGGAGAAGGGGTTGGGGAGCTTCCAACTCATTTAACGAAAGCTCCAGCAAGCTGCTTCTTCAGCCAGGGCCATGAACCCTCCATTGCTGTCCTTCATCCCTGCCATAAATCCATCAAATTTATGGGCTCCTGCCTGGCCAGACTGCCAGGGACTGGAGTTCACACTCCCCTGGGAAGTGACTGGGCAGCATGTGGAGTTGGGGGAGGGATAGCCTGTTCAAGGTTGGGGGTGAAGGAGGGGTTAGAAGCTGAACTGGTCAGAGCAGTGCTATAGCTGGGGGAAGGGGAAACATTTGGCTCAACACAAAGTAGGTATTAAGAAAGTTAGATTTCAATTTCACCTCTCCCCCGCCTGATATTTGTTCACCATTTTGTCTAAGGATGATTAGAGAGCTGGAGAAACAGTACGTGCGCCAGGAATCCTCACTCTCAACTTCCTATTCTTCCTTACATGAGAATGCTACAGAAGGCAGAATGTAGATCTGTGAAGCCAACTTAATTCACAATATCTTGTTATAAACTTGTAAATTAAATGCGGCTTTTATTTTCAAATGGTGAGGGTATTTAATCAGACCCAGATAAATCACAGGGACCCCTAGGAACTAAAATAAAACAATAAAAAAGAGAATTAACAGAAAGGATCTTGGAGATCTAGTCCAACACTGCTCAAGTAAGAAACCCTACACCATTTCAGAAAAGTGGTTGTCCAATCTCTTCTTTAAAATCTCCAATGATGGTGCACCCACAGCTTCTGAAGGCAAGTTGTTCCATTGGTTGATTGGTCTCACTATGTGGAAATTTCTCCTTATATCTAGGATGGTCCTCTTTTCACCTACTTTCTTGAGGCTAAATCATATTTACTTAGTGGGCAAAGGTAAAGACTTCTGCAGAAGGAGCTGGGCTTAACATGGAAAACTCCAGGCAGTTTTCTTGGAAACAACCAAAAGTAGTTTTTTTACTGTCTTCTTTGGGTATATTTTTCTGACTTCCCAATCTAGCCTAAAACTCTGGGATTTTATATTTCCTTTCTGAATACTGACCAGTAGAAAAATGTGGGTTAGACAGCATCACCACCAGATGGATTCGTAATTGGCTGATCACCACATTCAAAGTGTAGTCCTCAATGGAACTACATCTACATGGAGGGAAGTATGCAGCGGAGTACCCCAAGGTTCTGTTTTAGGCCCAGTACCCTTCAACATCTTCATCAATGACTTGGACGAGGGGATAGATGGGAAACTCATCAAATTTGCAGATGACACCAAACTGGCAGGAATAGCCAACACTTCAGAAGATATGCTCAAGATAGAGAAG